TTGGTGGATGCTGTCGTCTGTGTGAAAATGGGACTTTATCTCTGCAAGGACTGTCCACTGGTCATGGCAAGCAACACTATTACGGATAGACACATCTGCAACAGGTCGATTGGTGACGTGCGGTCATTAGTTCCTTTAGTTGGTCCCTTCACTACTTGCTGCAGGCCAAGCCTGGACAACATTCGGCCTTGAGCTGTCAAGTAGCAAGTAACATTTGTCCCACATAAATGTCAGGTAGTAACCGTATTCAACATGAAAACAGATTACAGGCAACTCTTAAACATTCAACAATATTTGGATATTCTATCAACAACATCCAGGGTACCACTGTTGACAAAATATTTAACTTGATCCAAACATGAGCAAAAAAGCTGGGGTCCAGAGGCAAGATGAGCATTCCTGCCATTGATATCAATACAGAATTTGACAGAGTATGATGCCAAGCAGTTCTACAAAAACTGAGGTCAGTGTGAATTGGTGGTCAGCTCTCTGTTGGTTGAAGTCATACCTTCTACAAAGGAAGATGGTTGTGATTGTTGTAGGTGAATGGTCTCAGGTCTTGGACATTTCTGCAGGAGTTTCTCGGATAGTGTCCTAGGCCCAACTATCTTCAACTGTTTCACCTCTTCCATATGTTTCATGATCTTCCCTCCAACGTACGTTCAGAAGTGGGATGTTCACTCATGATTGCACAATGTTCAGTCCTATTCACAATTCCTCAGCTACTCAAGTGACCTGTGTCTATAAGCAGCAAAACCTGTATAACAGGAGATAGCAAGAACTGCAGATGCTGGAATCAGAGTCGATACAGTGTGGAGCTGGAGGAACACAGCAGGTCAGGCAGCACCAGAGGAGTAGGAGAGTTGACCATTCGGACCTAGACCCTTCATCAGGACTGGTGAAGGCTCCCGACCCGAAACGTCGACTCTCCTACTCCTCTGATGCTGCCTGACCTGCTGTGTTCCCCAGCTCCGCACTGCATCAAACCTGTATAACATCCATGTGAGGGCTGATAAGTCACAAGTAACATTTGGTACCACACAAGTGGCAGGCAATTATCATCTCTAACAAGACAGAATTAAATCAATCACCTTTGATGTTAAATGTCTATAGACCATCTATGAGGCACAAGTCGGGAGTATGATGGAATTTTTTCCACTTGCTTGGATGGGTACATTTCTAATAACGCACAAGAAGCTTGACACTATCCAAGACAAAGTAGCTTATTTTATTAGCAGCCTTCAACATTTACACTTTCACCACTGATGCATAGTGACAGCAATATGAACAGCAATAGCTTGCAAAAGCTCTTTTGACAGCACCTTCTAAGCCTGCAACTTCTAACGCCCAAAAGGATAAGATCAGTAGATGCACTGAAACACCACCACTTTCAAAATCCACTTAAGTCACACACATTGCCTGACTTTGAACTACTTTGCTGTTCCTTCAGTGTTGCTATGTCAAAACCCTGGAACATTCTCCATGATGACAATGTAAGAACATAAGAACTAGGAGCAGGAGTAGGCCATCTGGCCCCTCGAGCCTGCCCCGCCATTTAATAAGATCACGGCTGATCTTTTTGAGACTCAGCTCCACTTACCCACCCACTCACCATAACCCTTAATTCCTTTACCGTTCAAAAATTTATCTAGCCTTGCCTTAAAAACATTTAGTGAGGTAGCTTCAACCGCTTCACTGGGCAGGGAATTCCACAGATTCACAACCCTTTGGGTGAAGAAGTTCCTCCTGACCTCAGTCCTACATCTGCTTCCCTTTATTTTGAGGCAATGCCCTCTAGTCCTAGTTTCACCTGCTAGCGGAAACAACCTCCCTGTCTCCACCTTATCTATTCCCTTCATAATCTTATACGTTTCTATAAGATCTCCCCTTATTCTTCTGAATTCCAATGAGTATAATCCCAGTCTACTCAGTCTCTCCTCATAATCCAACCCTCTCAACTCTGGAATCAACCGAGTGAATCTCCTCTGCACCCCCTCCAGTGCTAGTATATCCCTTCTCAAGTAAGGAGATCAAAACTGCACACAGTACTCCAGGTGTGGTCTCAGCAGGACCCTATACAGCTGCAGCATAGCCTCCCTGTTTTTAAACTCCATCCCTCTAGCAATGGCAGACAAAATTCCATTTGCCTTTTTAATTACCTGCTGCACCTGCAATCCTACTTTTAGCGATTCATGCACAAGGACACCCAAGTCCCTCTGCACAGCAGTGTGCTGCAACTTTTTACCATTTAAAACATAGTCCATTTTGCTGTTATTCCTACCAAAATGGATGACTTCACACTTATTAACATTGTACTCCATCTGCCAGATCTTTGCCCACTCACTTACACTATCTATATCACTCTGCAGACTTTCAGTGTCTTCTGCACACTTTGCTCTACCACTCACCTTAGTGTCATCTGCAAATTTTGACACACCACACTTAGTCCCCAACTCCAAATCATCTATGTAAATTGTAAACAATTGAGGTCCCAACACTGATCCCTGAGGCACACCACTAGCCACTGACCGCCAACCAGAAAGACACCCATTTACCCCTACTCTTTGCTTTCTACTGGTCAACCAATCCTCTATCCATGCCAATACATTACCTGTAATACCGTGCAACTTTATCTTATGTGGCAGCCTTTGGTGTGGCACCTTGTCAAATGTCTTCTGGAAATCCAGATACACCACATCCATAGGTTCCCCATTGTCCACCATGCAAGTAATGTCCTCAAAGAATTCCACCAAATTAGTTAAACATGACCTACCCTTCATGAACCCATGCTGGGTGTTTCCAATGGGACAATTTATATCCAGATGTCTTGCTATTTCTTCCTTAATGATAGATTCAAGCATTTTCCCCACTACCGAAGTTAAGCTAACTGGCCTATAGTTACCTGCTTTTTGTCTACTTCCTTTTTTAAACAGTGGCATCACATTGGCTGTTTTCCAATCTACGGGAACCACCCCAGAGTCCAGTGAATTTTGGTAAATAATTACTAGTGCATTTGCTATTTCCCCCATCACCTCTTTTAGTACCCTGGGATGCATTTCATCAGGGCCAGGAGACTTGTCTACATTTAGCCCCCATTAGCTTGCCCAGCACTGCCTTCTTAGTGATAATGACAGTTTCTAGGTCCTCGCCTGCTATAACCTTCTTGCGATTAGTTTTCGGCATGTTATTTGTGTCTTCCACTGTGAAGACCGACACGAAATAACTGTTTAATGTCTCGGCTATTTACTCATTCCCAGTTATTAAATTGGCCTTCTCATCCTCTAAAGGACCAATGTTTACCTTCGCCACTCTTTTACGATTTACATATTTATGGAAACTTTTGCTGCCTGTTTTTATATTCTGAGCTAGTTTACTCTCATAATCTATCTTACATTTCTTTATAACTTTCTTTGTGGTTTTCTGTTGGCCTTTAAAGATTTCCCAGTCTACTAGTTTCCCACTACTCTTTGCTTTTTTGTATGTGTTTTTTTTTTCATGCCATGTAGATGCTCCTACACCCCAAGGATTGTAGCAGTGTATGAAGGACACTCACCACCACCTTCTCCAGGAAAATTAGGGATAGTCAATAAAAGTTACTCTATCTTACAATGTCCAAATGCCATGAATGAATAAAAAAGAAAATTAAAACAGTCACACTAATATTGTGGCTATAAGATCAAGTTGGAGGTTGGGTAGTCTGCTATGTGTGATTTGACTTCCTGACTCCCTAAAAGCTTGCCCACAAGACAGAAGTCAGGAATATGATGGAAAATTCCACGTCCTGCCCGGTCAAGTGCTGTTCCAACAACATTCAAGAAACTTCTCAACATCCAGGACAATGTAGCCCAATTGACTGGCATTCCACTTGAGGAGTCAGGAGTTCACTCCGAAATTTCAAGCCTCTGATATACTCTTGTAGCCATGAAATCTGTGTGGCTGATCCAGGTAAGTTTCTGACCACTAGTGAGTGCCATGATATTAATGGTGGGGGATTCACTAATAATAATGCTGTTGAATGTCAAAGAGTAATGGTTGAGTTCTGTCTTGTTGGGCATGGTCAATGCTTGGCATTTGTATGATACAAATGATACTCATGCACTGATAACTTTATTGTGTCACAGAAGCAAAATGTTGCAGTTGCTGGAAATCTGAAATTAAAAGAAAAAGGGAGTGCTGGAAAAACTCAGCAGGTCTGACAGCATCTGTTGAGAGACAAATAGAGTTAACATTTCGAGTCTGATAAGATTGTTCTTCAGGTAATTTCTGTTTTCAATTCATGGGATGTAGAATGCAATGGCTAGGCCAGCATTTATTGCCCACTCCTAATCGCCTTGAATGGAATGCTTGCTAAAGTCGTTTCAGATGGCAATTAAGAGTCAACCACATTGCTGTGGATTTGAGGTCACATGGAGGTTACACAAGTTATGAATTACAAATTTCCTTCCCTGAAGGACAACAGTGAGCCAGATGTTTTTTTTGTGTGACAAATAACAATCAAAATTAGGGCAGTGTTCAGTTCCAAATGTTTTTAAAATTCAAATTCCAACATCGGCCATTGTAGGGTTCAAATTCCTGTCTCCAGAGTAAAGTCTTAGGTTCTGGATTGCTTGTCTAGTGACATAGCAACTATGCCACTACCTCCCCTATTTGAAATAAAGTTTACAGTATCTGGGGTTTCTTCAAAATAATGCATTTTTTAAATCAAAATTTCTACTCGTAGTTTACTTGCATTTCTGTTTCTTAACAGACTTTCCTGCAGTGATTAATAATTAAATATAAAGTGAATTCAGTCTAAGTTGGAGAAGGCAATGATATGCTATCATTTCTCATTCACATTGTACTTTAGATGACTTACTCTACACATCTGGATTCACTTAATTATTTCCAGATGCATTAATTTGGTGAACTTGTTGGGAAGGTTATGTCAGTTGTCTTACAGAATATGACAATTGCCATCATCTCATCTTGTTTCAAAGTCTAACTATGCCATTTTCATCTAGGAAATAATGACTTCCTCCAGATATGGAGACCAAAAGGGAACAGTGTGACCTGAGTTCATCTGAAAACCTTAGCGATGCATATACTCCTGCTGAGTTAAGTGTTTCTGCCATTACTGGTTTCCAAATAAACATTTGGATTTTGAGATAACACAGTGTGGAGCTGGAGGAACACGGTTGGCCAGGCAGCATCAGAAGAGCAGGAAAGTTGACATTTTGGGTTGTCTCCCTTCTTCAGAAATAGGGGAGGGGGAAGGGAGCTCAGAAATAAATAGAGAGAGGAGGGGTGGGGCTGGGGAAGGTAGGTGGGATGGTGATAGGTGAGTGCAGGTAGGCAGTGGTGGGGATTGGTCAGTGAGGTTGGAGGAGCGGATAGGTTGTGTCAGGTCAAGGAGGTGGGGATGAGAGGGAGGCTTGATCATGGGATGAGACCGGGACTGGGAGATTTTGAAACTGGTAAAGTCCACATTGAGACCATTGGGTTGTAGGCTCCCGAGGCGGAATATAAGGTGCTACTCCTCCAGTTTGCGGGTGGTGTCATTGTGACGCTGGAGGAGGCCCAGGATGCACATGTCACCCAGGGAGTGGGAGGGGGAGTTAAAATGGTTCGCGACTAGGAGGTGTTGTTGTTTGTTGCGGAAAGAGCGCAGGTGCTCTACAAAGAAGTCTCCGAGCCTCCACTTGGTCTCACTGATGTAGAGGAGGCCACATTGGGAGCAGCAGATGCAATAGGCCACATTGGTGGATGTGCAGGTGAACCTCTTTCTGATGTGGAAGGTTTGTTTGGTGCCTGGAATGGAGGTGAGGGGGGAGGTGTAGGAGCAGGTGTAGCACTCCCTATGGTTGCAGGGAAAGGTGCCAGGGTTGGTGGGTTTAGTGGGGAGTGTGGAGCGGACGAGGGAGTCGCAGAGAGAGCGGTCCCTATGGAAGGCAGATAGAGGTGGGAGGGCAATATATCTTTAGTTGTGGGGTTGGATTGTAGGTGGCGGAGAATGATATGTTGAATATGGATGTTAGTGGGGTGATACGTGAGGACAAGGGGGATTCTGTCTTTGTTTTTGTTACGGGGATGGGATGTGAGGACAGAGGTGCGGGAAATGCAAGAGATGTGGTTGAGGGCATGTTTGACCGCCGAAGGGGGCATGTTGTGGTCCTTGAAATAAGAGGCCACCTGGGATGTTCGGGAGTGGAACATATGGATTTTGAAAATTTTACACATTACTTAAAAGTATCCTGACCCTTTCTACAAAAAATATAATTGGGTACCTTGTTGTTCCACATGATTAGCTGCACCAGTCTAGAATGATCAAGGATTTATTTCAGATTTTATAATTAATGTTACAATTCCCAGACTTGTGTGTTCAGTTCAGTGACCAGAAACAAAAGGCAATGACAATCAGGCTGGTTCTGGAGAGAGAGCAAGTTTTTGCTTAAAGTGAACCGAGATGTGTTTTTCATGTTTCCACATAAGAAGATATGTAAAGGCTGTGTTTTTTAAGCTGATTTTTTTAAAATGTGTTTTTTTGGCTGACTGGAAAAATTTCCTTTCAGGTTCTCCCCTTCATCTATTGTAACTTTGGCAGAAGACCCACGAAAACCCTGGAGAAGCAGCGTAAATAATATCTTCTAAATTTCACTTTTGAGGGTAATATTTTAGATCATCTCCATTTCCTTTTAGAGTATGATCATGACTCTTCCTGGGCTAAATGCTGAAGCAACAGGAGGATGTGTGGAAGCTTGAAGGGGAAGGTTTTTTTTATATGGTAATACCTGTGTGCAAGGCAACAGTCATGATGCCTTCATTTTAAGCCTGTTCTCTACATCCGAACCATTTAAGAAAATTTAAGACACAACCAATGGCTTCTAGGAACGCAGGAATAGCAGAAGGGCATTCAGTCCCGCAAACCATTCGATTAGATCATGACTGATCATTATATGAATTTAATTTGCCTGTATTGGTTCTGTAACACGCTTGCCTGACAAAATATGGGTCCAACTCAGTTTTGAAGTTTTCAGTTATTCTAATCTCAAAAGTTTTTCAACAAACAGAGTCTGATTTCCACTGCCCTTAGTGTGACGAAGTGCTTCCTGATCTCATGCCTAAACTGGCTAATGAGGTTTAACCCCTTCAATTCTGTTTGATGATCCCATTGAGGGAGTCAAGAATCAAATTTCAATGAGATACATGAAACCACTTAGGCCATCACAAACAGATTCCTGGAGCATATATTGTCATTTGATTTATGCCCTTCCCCTGGAAAACAATGAAATCATTTGACAGTGTGTTCTGTCTGTCTTGTGCCTGTGCAGTTGGAAGACAGGTGGCGTATATCAAAGATCTCTATTATTTTCTTGATTTTCTTTAGAAGTTGGAATCAAAAGGTATATTCTGTGTACAAGTACATTAGTTAATTCCATAGAGTCATTTTCTTTCTCCTTGAAACAGCTATTCAATCAGACCCACTGCTCTCTTCCTTTCCCATGTTCCTGTAAATATTTCCTTTACTAGTAATTATCACAAACCTTTTGAAAGTTACTGCCCTGAGGCAGTGTATTCTAAATTATAAATACTCACTTTGTGAAAGAACTTCACTTCATCTCACTTCTTGAACATTGCATATTTGTTCAATGTTGAGGAAAGCACTTACAAAATCACACCTTAATTAACTTCCGATAAGGATTTTTCCCAGTGACATAAATGTTTGAGTAGGTTCAAACCCATGCCAGGAGTTAAGTATATAATCAAGATTTTGAAAATATTGCAATATAAATGACAAGATAGTGCAACACTTTATTGCTTCTTTTGTACATTTACACTGACACCTACAAAAATGATCCGAAATTAGAAAACAGTGGGCCGAATCTTGAGGCATAAGTTGTTTTGCCTCCTAGCTGGAGAGCTAGTGAGTGATGTGTGCTGCTTCTTTTTGGGAACACCGCCAAGTTACAAGCCAATCAGACAGTGATGAAGTCACTGGCGGACCTTGCCCTGGAATCACTACCACTGAGGCAGAAGTCTAGCCAACTGAAAGCTGCCGGTCAATCAGAGGCCTTGAGCTCAGTAGCACCACTGGGTAGGCTCTGGATGCATTCGGAAGGACAGGCACCAGAGTCAAGAGATTGTGAAGCAATCCAGGCCACAGGTATGCAATCTGATGAGGGCATGGTGGTTTGCAGGGGAGGATCGGAGGGAGAGGGAGGGAACAAGAGGGGGGTCACAACAGGCTTCGATTCCCAATGTTCAGTCCATCAATCAGGTACTGAATGCATGAGGAGGGAAGTTGTTGGGGTCCAGACAGGCCACAGCTCACCCAATTATATGCCCTTCCCACCTCCAAGTTTGCCACCAGAGAGAACTTCTACTCTAATCAGGACTAGATACTGGATCAGTAGACAGATTGAGAATATTTTTGATCATTTTGCATGGGATTCTATGACTGGGATTCTGAAAAATGGGTTAAATGTTAACTTGTGCCATTTGCCAGAATTGCAAATCATGTTCGTACATGTTTTGAAACAGTAAACAGCTTCCATCTCATTTCCATGATTATAGCAAAAAGCTGTGGGTCTGCTGCTATTTCTACATTCAGCAAGAAACTGATCACCCTGGGCTAATATTATGTTGTGAAACCCTCTAGTTTTCTGTTCTTAAAGGCATTCTGACCCTCTGAAAGGAAAGCTGTACTCATTCACAGGAGATTATTGCTAAATGCTACCACTGCCATTTAAAACAAGGAAAATGAAACACAGGTAAAGATAAAGTTTGAGAGTTGCTGATGGGATACTGTCCTAATGTCGTAGATGGAGTGACAGATAGCTGTTATGAGTGGGGAGTGGGATGATGGGGGAGGAAGAGCATTAATTCTCAGGAAGGATTGGGAGCAGCTCAATTCCTAGCATCTAGATCTGAGAATATTGCGCTCATGCCTTAAGATACCATGATATCATTAGACTTTTTACAGCACTGTATGCAGCAGTGCAGCCTCACACTTGAATAGCTCAAAGCACAATGTCCAGTGATACAACTGAAAACTGCAGTGGCTCTCAAGTTGTTCAGCAGCTGATTCAGTTCTTGCATTTCTGAAATGTTTCCATTCTGATTCCCAGGAGAGCCCCTTTAAATAACAGAGCAGACTGAGATAGCAGTAGATAACTTAATTCATAATTTTTGTGCCTCCTTTTACAATTGGCTGGAAATTCAGAAAGAAAATACTGTGGCTGAATCAAGAAACCACGGACAAGCCAGTTGCAGATACTACCCGATTGTCAACACAAAACAGCCTCCACACTCCAAACAGGTCAGGATAATCCAGTTCAACTCAATGGTTTTTGCTTAAAAATATAGATCTTTGTAAAATTAATTAACGAAAGTTATTTGCTTTATTATAGGATAATGAGATTAATGGATAGTTATAGATAAAAGTAATAAAGAACACATGGCTATCTTGTTCTAGATCACAGCTTTACCTTAAACAAAATATCTTATGAATTCATGATCACCCCACCTATCCATTCATCATTAACAAAACAAACATTCCCAATGAAATCTCTTGGACATTGCAGCCTGGCAATAGAAAAACATAGCACTTATTTTAATCCATAATAATGCTCAGCAGAAACTTGAGTACAATATATCCCTACTCAAAGCCTTTGGGATACATTCCACCCTGAAAGCACTGACTGGCCAGTCACCATTCCTGGCAGGAGATCAAGTTCATTTTGAAAGGCAAGCCTGAATTAGAATTCAGCCAGCAGTTTATGGGTGGAAAATAAGCATTCTGGGGATGGAACTGGCTGATATTAATTCAGGAGACTATCTGAAGTAGCAGTAGGCCAGTCTGCATTAATGGAGTTTTGGGAAGCACTCCTGATTCTCCCGACCAAGCTCCTTTGTTTGGCTGGGCCACCAGCTGATTCAGGATGCCAAGCACACACAATGCATGTTCCTCCCCATACAGAGGTACTTGCAAAAATATAGAGGGGATCCTGTGTCACTTATGGGCCCAACCCCAGACTCAGGTTGATATTCCAATATTTCAGCAGTAGGCATGGGAGACTGGTGATGCCAGAGGTACAGCTAGAAGGGGGTGTTCAGTCAAATCAACCACATCAGAGGTCTCGAAATCTAGGCCATTTGTTCGGAAGATGATACCAGGCAAAGTTATAATAATTGCCCATTTTGAGTTCAGAAGATGATACCAAGCAAAGATATAATAATTCTTGAACTGCTGAGATTCCTGATGTTTCCACAAAGTAATTAGGTCAGAAATCCAGGATTTTAGCCAGCAATGAAGGAGTGTTGATTATACAAGCAATTCCGAATGGTATGTGACCTAAAGCTATATATTTCTTGTCGGTAGAATGAGGTGCTGGATATGCTGCCGGAGAAAGTGCTTGGCAAGATACTGCTGTGCAAACAGCTGAAAATCAATCCTACAAATAGCATAAACTACAACAATAGTGCAACACTGATGGAGTCCATATTGGTGTTGGAGTAATTAGAAAAGAGAATTTCCATGGAAAAGGGCAAACCATTCTTTCAGGCCAGAATGCCAACCAAAGTGCATGAGTTTCAATTTACACCATGATTAAGTAACCTTAATTAGCTGAGGAAAGTCGGTAGTCACATGTAAACTGTTCGATGACAAGAGACTCCAGGAACATCCATCAGTACCCCTCCCAACAGGAAAGCTGAGATACAATCTAGCATTTACTGTGATCACTTATATTCCATTGATCCTAGACATGTATGGGGATGCAATCAAAGTGTTTCAAAATGTATTTAGCAAAATCTTCCTTACTGACATAAATATGAATTGTTCTGACATCCAGATAACCCATGCAGATTTTTTTTTTTGCAAAGTGATTGTCCGAAGTATATTGTAGAGTTGTGTGTGCATAAATTGTCACAAAATTCTAAAACATGGAAATGATGACTGACAATTTGGGTTTTGACTTTTAGGTTTTGCTGGCATAAGGAAAAGCAGACTTCACAGAAACTGTTGGATTAGCTCCTCCCTTCAAATGTAATGAACTCCCAGCACCAGGAGAAAAGGCACTCAGTTAAAAGCGAACTACTGCAGATGCTGGAAATCTGAAATTAAAACAGAAAATGCTGGAAAGGCTCAGCAGATCTGACAGCATGTGGAGAGAGAGGGACAGAGTTAACATTTTGAGCCCTGAGTATACGTAATTATCTATATTCCACAGCCCTCTATGGTAAAGAATTCCACGACTGACTACCGTCTGGCAGAAAAAAGACTCCTCAACTCTGTCTTAAATGAGCGACCCCTTTACTCTGAGATTTTTCCTTCTGGCCCTAGAAGAGAAAACATTCTGTCAGTGTCTACACAGTCACGTCCCCTAAGAGCCCTATACGTTTCAATAAAACTATCCATTAGTCTTCTAAACTGTAATGGATACAGGCCCAACATATTCAGCCTCTCCTTAGAAGCCAATCCCTCCATACTCCGAATCAACCTGCTGAACGTTCTCTAGATTGCCTCCAATGCGATTGAAAGAGCTCACAGAATTTTAACTAGTGTCTTGTATAGTTTTAGCAAGACTTCCTTATTTCTATACTCAATTCCCTTTGAAAGAATGGCCAACATTCCAATTGTGCTTCCTATTACCTGATGAACTTGT